GTCAGAACTTTATTTTGACCAATATCTTACAGAACATTAACAGAACTCTGATAGAACATTTATAGAACTGTGACAGAAAGTTGAAAGAACTCTTGAGAGAACTTTTACAGAGTTCCAATAGAACAGGTTCTGAATCAGTTCCCATATAGTATCAGTTCTGACATCAGTCTGTTCTGCAGGTGGAACTCAGTCATCAGAACAAACACTGTACATTTCTTCACTAGATACATCTGTGTGTTATAATAAGTTCTATCACTATGCTCCAACAGTGCTGTGGTGAACGTGTGTTTGGGGTCAAGAACAAAAACCACTTGGTCCTGGTTTGGAACAGATCCTGTTTAGGCTTCAGATAGCAGCTTTTCACAGCTGGAACCACAGCGATGGCTCAGTGAAACACAGCCAGTGTTGTTGTGTGTTGGTGTTGAGCAGTGGTCTGCAGCTCTGCAGTCGTCTCTCCACCTTCCACCATCTCCTCCCTACTGAGGACAGAGTCAGCTCAGATGTGTGAATGTAACAGAATGTAACGTGTCTATGGTTGGCAGAAACTTACCAAGCTGTTCTTTGGACTGGGCAGGCAGCTGCTGAGAATGTAACTTGCCTCATTAATAAAGCTTTAAGTCAGAGCTGGCTCATTTTCATGCGTGTGTACTGGACACACCTTCTGTCACATTTATATGATTGACTTTTTAAATTTTGATCCTTTTTAATCTTTGAACTTGATCAGGAATTTCACGTCACTTTACCTGGTTGTTGTTGGGTTGTTGCTGTTCTTTTCACAAAATCATTAACTGATGACTGACTGATGTGTGAGCAGCTGACCTCATCAAAGCTTCCTGCAGGCTCAACCCCCGCATCGACCACAGACCGTATAAATGAGCTTCTACCTGGGATGGAAGTTGTTCTCATCTCGATTAAGAGAACTCTAAAACAACACTGGCGGAACGTCACTATGCCAGAACTCTAATAGAACTCTAAAAGAACTCTGAGAGAACTTTAGTCTGACAGAACTCTAATAGAACCCAAAAAGAACTCTGAGAGAACTTTAGTTGACAGAATTCTAATAGAACCCAAAAAGAACTCTGAGAGAACTTTAGTCTGACAGAACTCTAATAGAACCCAAAAAGAACTCTGAGAGAACTTTAGTTGACAGAATTCTAATAGAACCCTAAAAGAACTCTGAGAGAACTTTAGTCTGACAGAACTCTAATAGAACCCAAAAAGAACTCTGAGAGAACTTTAGTTGACAGAATTCTAATAGAACCCTAAAAGAACTCTGAGAGAACTTTAGTCTGACAGAACTCTAATAGAACCCAAAAAGAACTCTGAGAGAACTTTAGTTGACAGAATTCTAATAGAACCCTAAAAGAACTCTGGAAGAACTTTAGTCTGACAGAACTCTAATAGAACCCAAAAAGAACTCTGAGAGAACTTTAGTTGACAGAATTCTAATAGAACCCTAAAAGAACTCTGGAAGAACTTTAGTCTGACAGAACTCTAATAGAACCCAAAAAGAACTCTGAGAGAACTTTAGTTGACAGAATTCTAATAGAACCCTAAAAGAACTCTGGAAGAACTTTAGTCTGACAGAACTCTAATAGAACCCAAAAAGAACTCTGAGAGAACTTTAGTTGACAGAATTCTAATAGAGCCCTAAAAGAACTCTGGAAGAACTTTAGTCTGACAGAACTCTAATAGAACCCAAAAAGAACTCTGAGAGAACTTTAGTTGACAGAATTCTAATAGAGCCCTAAAAGAACTCTGGAAGAACTTTAGTCTGACAGAACTCTAATAGAACCCAAAAAGAACTCTGAGAGAACTTTAGTTGACAGAATTCTAATAGAGCCCTAAAAGAACTCTGGAAGAACTTTAGTCTGACAGAACTCTAATAGAACCCAAAAAGAACTCTGAGAGAACTTTAGTTGACAGAATTCTAATAGAGCCCTAAAAGAACTCTGGAAGAACTTTAGTCTGACAGAACTCTAATAGAACCCAAAAAGAACTCTGAGAGAACTTTAGTTGACAGAATTCTAATAGAGCCCTAAAAGAACTCTGGAAGAACTTTAGTCTGACAGAACTCTAATAGAACCCAAAAAGAACTCTGAGAGAACTTTAGTTGACAGAATTCTAATAGAGCCCTAAAAGAACTCTGGAAGAACTTTAGTCTGACAGAACTCTAATAGAACCCAAAAAGAACTCTGAGAGAACTTTAGTTGACAGAATTCTAATAGAGCCCTAAAAGAACTCTGGAAGAACTTTAGTCTGACAGAACTCTAATAGAACCCAAAAAGAACTCTGAGAGAACTTTAGTTGACAGAATTCTAATAGAGCCCTAAAAGAACTCTGGAAGAACTTTAGTCTGACAGAACTCTAATAGAACCCAAAAAGAACTCTGAGAGAACTTTAGTTGACAGAATTCTAATAGAGCCCTAAAAGAACTCTGGAAGAACTTTAGTCTGACAGAACTCTAATAGAACCCAAAAAGAACTCTGAGAGAACTTTAGTTGACAGAATTCTAATAGAGCCCTAAAAGAACTCTGGAAGAACTTTAGTCTGACAGAACTATGAAGTATATGAAGAGCAGAAGAGACGACAAGATGGAGAGAAGAAGAGACGACAGGATGAAGAGCAGAAGAGACGACAGGATGGAGAGAAGAAGAGACGACAGGATGAAGAGCAGAAGAGACGACAGGATGAAGAGCAGAAGAGACGACAAGATGAAGAGAAGAGACGACAGGATGAAGAGCAGAAGAAGAGATGACAGGATGAAGAGCAGAAGAAGAGATGACAGGATGCAGAGCAGAAGAAGAGACGACAGGATGAAGAGCAGAAGAAGAGACAGGATGGAGAGAAGAAGAGACGAGAGGATGAAGAGAAGAAGAAGAGACGACAGGATGAAGAGCAGAAGAAGAGATGACAGGATGAAGAGCAGAAGAAGAGATGACGGGATGCAGAGCAGAAGAAGAGATGACAGGATGAAGAGCAGAAGAAGAGATGACGGGATGCAGAGCAGAAGAAGAGATGACAGGATGAAGAGCAGAAGAAGAGACAGGATGAAGAGAAGAGACGACAGGATGGAGAGAAGAGACGACAGGATGAAAAGCAGAAGAGACGACAGGATGAAGAGAAGAAGAGACGACAGGATGAAGAGCAGAAGAAGAGACAGGATGAAGAGAAGCGACGACAGGATGGAGAGAAGAGACGACAGGATGGAGAGCAGAAGAAGAGACAGGATGAAGAGAAGAGACGACAGGATGAAAAGCAGAAGAGACGACAGGATGAAGAGAAGAGACGACAGGATGAAGAGCAGAAGAAGAGACAGGATGGAGAGAAGAAGAGACGACAGGATGAAGAGCAGAAGAAGAGACAGGATGGAGAGAAGAAGAGACGACAGGATGAAGAGCAAAAGAAGAGACAGGATGGAGAGAAGAGACGACAGGATGGAGAGCAGAAGAGACGACAGGATGAAGAGTAGAAGAGACGACAGAATGAAGAGCAGAAGAGACGACAGGATGAAGAGACAACAGCATGAAGAGAAGAAGAAGAGATGACAGGATGAAGAGAAGAGACGACAGGATGAAGAGCAGAAGAGACGACAGGATGGAGAGAAGAGACGACAGGATGAAAAGCAGAAGAGACGACAGGATGAAGAGCAGAAGAGACGACAGGAAGGAGAGAAGAAGAGATGACAGGATCAAGAGCAGAAGAGACGACAGGATGGAGAGCAGAAGAGACGACAGGATGAAGAGAAGAAGAAGAGATGACAGGATGGAGAGCAGAAGAGACGATGAAGAGATGAAGAGACAGGATGAAGAGAAGAAGAGATGACAGGATGAAGAGTAGCAGAAGAAGAGACGACAGGATGGAGAGCAGAAGAAGAGATGACAGGATGAAGAAAGGAAGAGACAGGTTGAAGAGTAGCAGAAGAAGAGACGACAGGATGCAGGATGCAGATGCAGGATGCATTCACTGTACTTTATTTACAATATTCAACAAACGTCCAGCCCTCAAACTGTTAAATAGAAAGAACAGAAACTGCTGACAGACAGTGAACGCATCGCAGTGTTCAGGGATCAGTTTATACTGAAATAAATACAAACATCAATATTTTCATTTTGAATATAAAACAAACAAACTTATTCCTCAACATCCATAAACACTGCTGCTTTGTTTATTTATTTATTGTTTATTTATAAGTGGAGACTGAAAACAACCTGAACTGCACAGTCCAGCAGGTTAAGAAAACCAAACTTATTATTTTTATGAATTCAAATTAAGAGACTTTTATTTTTTGTTTAAAAGGAAACTGTTTTCATAGTTTTGTCGGTCATTTAATTTTTTATCAGTAACAAAATATTTTACTGTTTTTTGTTAAGTTTTATGTTTAAAGCTGCAGTCGTATTCTGTCTGTCATCAAACTGCAAAATAAAAAACTGACAGATTAAACTAAATGAGTCGTTAACCTTTGACCTGCTGGACCGTGAGTTCAGATCTGAGTTCAGCTCCGTCACACCGAGCAGCAGCAGCACCACATCCCAACTCTGTCATGGATAATAAGAATAATCATTAGAACGATAATAATCATAATGAATAATAAACAAAAGAAAATCTTCAACATCATGTTTGAAAGATTTATTCAGACTCAGCGACTCAGACACATTTTCACCAAAGAACAGGAAGCTGGAGGCGTCACGTCGTAACGGACTCTTAGAAAACAAACCACCAAACTTTAATAATTAGTAGGGCTGCTCCCTGATGGTCGACCAAACGTTGAACAAAAAGGTCATTAGTAGGCGAGATTTCATTGGTTGCTTAGTCGCCAAATATGAAACTCTATTAGAAGGTGCAGCTTGTCAAAATAAATCAAAACCTATATGACTGGACCATGTGGGACTTTAATTTGAAAGGACAGACACAGGAAGTGTCTACGCTCAGCAGTCAGACAGGAGTTAGGTTAATTTCCAGGGCTGGTACCTGCGGTTAACAATGTTACTGATACTATTCTTTCTCACACCTTCAACTCAAACCACCAAAAGATATCATTTAATCATTACATTAGTATCGTAAACATGCGGCGACTAGTCGACTAATGGCCCTAAATGACGACTGTTGGTCGACTAGGAATATTCTCAGTCAGGAGCAGCCCTTGTTATTACTCAGATTATGTTTCTCCTAATTCTGACACCTCTCTGGTCATAACGCAACGACGCCTCCAGCTGTCGCCTTCGTAGATTTAAGACAATAAAACATGTGACGCTCTCTCAGTTTACTTTTTGTTTCCAAACGTTCAAAGAACCAAAATAATGAAGTGAAATAAAACACTGAAATAAAACCAAACAGGAAACTGAAGGAGAAGCTGAGGGTCAGATTTGTGTCGTCGCCCTGAACGACGACGGAGGAGAAGAAGGATGATGTCACAATTATGTCATGATGATGTCGTGAGGTGAGCACCAGCAGGGAAGTCTGAGGTATCTAACACACACGCACACACACACACGCACGCACACACATCTTCCTCCACAGGAAGTTAGTGTTGTGAGTTTTCAACATAAAACCCAGATAGTTTATCATTTGTACAGTACCATCATCATCATCATCGTCATATAAAATCTATCTGTCATATTAACATTATAAAGATTTTTTTTTTTTTATCTTTTTTAAAAAACAAACTCATGCTAAAATCAACATTCATATGTACAAACTGTTCCGTCGTTTGGCTTCCTGTCAGATAACGACTTCTTCTTCTTTCTGAATATGAACACTTGGTCTTTAAAAACACTGAGAGAAGAAGAAGAAGAAGAAGAAAGAGGAGGAGGAGGAGGAGGAGGAGCAGACCGTCGGACTGGAGACCAGTGTGACGACGCTCTGCTGGAGCTTTTATAAAATCAGACTGCAGCGAGGTGAAAAGGTCAAAGTCTTCTGATTTCCTATGGGTCCCTGAACATCTCTATTTGTGGTTCATAGTGGATTCGTCTGATGCTCTGATTTACAATTTACACAAGACGACCACTGAACCATCACGTCACCAAGACTTCATCGTTAAAAATCAGAGACGGAACGATTTCGAGCTGCGACTAAAAGTCAGCAGATTGTTTTGTTCCAAATTCAAACTTTTCCAGTTTTACACAGAGACAAAATCAACTTGTTCATCTTCCGAAATAAAGAGACATGAACGTGACGCCGATTCAAAGCAGAGAAAGGCCTGCTGGGTAACAAGCGGCGGGACAGACAACATCTTTCCTGAGACGTTTAGAAAACAAACGGAGCCGACAAACATCATCGGAAGAGTCAAAATACAAAATCAATAAATTCAACTCTTTGATAAAACTTTATATATTTATAATTTTTACATCTTTATATCCTCCAGTTACATTTCTTACATTTCTTTCTGTCCTCCAGTTTAATTATTTATAATTTATATATTTCAAAATATACCAGTTCAATTTTTATAATTTACATTTCTTCATATCTGTCAGATTCAGTTTAGAAATAATTATTTGTGTTTTGGCTTTTCAGGTTCAAATTATTTGTTTTTTGTCGAGACGACTTTAGAAATTCATCCTGATACTCGTTACAATCAATTCAGAATAAAACATATATGTTAATGAATTTTTTTAAGATGTTAAAAACTTTATTTTGTCAGAACAAACCACAAACAGGAAGTAACCAAACAGAGATTTTTAGAAAATAAAAGTAAAGTAATAAAGTCATGCTTTTAATATTCACTGCAAACCTGACCAGGATTTATTTATAACTCATCTTTATTTATTATTCATCTTTAGTGTTTCACTTTCTAATCTTCAGGTTTTTCTTCTCGACACATTTAATCTTTAAATCTGAAGGACCTGAATCTCAAACTGAACAAACTCGAAACAAGTCATTAAAAAACATGATTTGATTTTGAATACGGAGAAACTTTTAAATCAGACATGATTTCACTTTTAAAATCAATAAAATAAAGTGAAACACGACTGATTATTGATCAGTATCCTCATGATGAGTAATTTAATAAATAAAACAGTGAAATATGTGACAGTTTTCAGACTCTTACTGACAGATTGAAAATAATCAATCCTTAGTGTTTTCTTGAATCTTAACTGTGATATTTATTTATTTAAGAAGACGTATTAATCACATTTATTGATTAATGTTTCGACAGTGGAACAGACTGATTCTTTAATGCAGTTTGTTGCAGCAAAGTGACGGCACTTTACAAAAGTTCAGTTTCTCAAACGTCTCAGAAGTTTCATAAACAGACCAGTTTTTCTGACATTTTAAATGTTGAATCTGAAAAATAAACTCTCGTTAAAGGAGAATTAATTTACAGAATAAAACACTGGTTTGCCTTCAACATTATTAATTAGCATAGGTGCTAAAACACTGAACCGCTTCCTGTACGACCTGAACACAGCGTGCCCAATCACCACAGAGAAGTCTGTGCCAGAAGTGCTGGAACCTGACCAGGCTGTTAAGGTGGAGCAGGTTTTTTTATTGTAGCGACGATCTCAGCTGCGAGTTTTTGATCCCAACTCTGTTGTAACTGTTCTTAGTGTTTAGATTTCTTTTGTTAATGATGTGAGTTTGTTAATAGTGTTTTTTATCCGTACGTATTTATATTAAGTCGTTTAGTTTTAAGTTTTATTTGCCTTTGTAATAAAACTTCTTTCACGTCCTTAACATTGTTTTTTTTTTAATGGTTTTAGCAGCAGTATCAGAGAAAACTAAACGATACCCAACCTCTGTTCTTAACTGTGATCATAATTTAATTAATAAATAAACGAAGGCTGACTATTTGTTATATTTCTTGTTATTTCTTTGACTTTAGCTCATTAAACCTTACAATCTTCCAACTCCGTCAGTGTCGACTCCACTTTCTCCTCAATGAGCAAACGTCTGACGAAAGATCCGTCTGGATCAATAACCTGATTATTAAACTCTCAGCTGACGATGTAAATATATCTGTATATATATATATATATGATAATAATAATAATCTGTATATTTATATACAGCAGTGATAGAGACATTCAGAAGCTGTTTGTTGTTGGCATCATTCAGACAAACGGAGAACAGCATGTGTCTAAAAACTACAGTCGCCCTTTTTATTCTCAAACGTCACATTATCTCGTAGAAAAACTCTGTCCAGGAAGTCTTTTATTTTGTAATACAAAACAGGAACTGATGTCAGAGGGTGGACATCAGTGTGGCTCACCCTGCGGAGAGAGAGAGAGAGAGAGAGAGAGAGAGAGACAGACTCTCCGCCATGTTGTCCTCATCAGTCTGAGGCTCACCTGCAACCAGAGGTCACCTGACCGCCCAGCAGGTCACCTGAGTGTCCGGTCAGAGACCGAAGCCGCTCACAGAGGGAGTCCCTGCTCCGTTCTGATTGGTCCTCCGCCTCGTCATAGGCTCGACTCTTTAGGAGGGTAGTCCACGTTGGTAACCATGGTGACGACCGTGACGATCTCCTCTGGCCCCGTGACGCTCGTCTGCCGCTGCATCTGAACGACACGCTCCTCCACACAGCCGGCCGACAGCCGAGCTTCAGCCTCGTGATCCCAGCATTCCTCGATGGTCTCACAGAGCACCGCCAGACCCTGAGGAGACGGAGACATCCACAACACCGTCGGAACAACACACAGACGGAAACATTCACAAACACGGTGTATTATAGGCAAGATGTGAGTGGTGTATTATGGGTAACGCAGTCTGGCTCACAGCATGTTTCTGCCAGCACTCTCTGAGCGTTGGTCTCAGCTTCTTGTGGACGACCACCTCCTGCATGTCCTCTAGAGACGGATGCTGACCCACCTCCTCCTCAAACGGCAACATGTACTCGTCCAACGGACCTGGACCAGAGACAGGGGGGACCATCAGAGACGGGGACAGTCACAGAGACATCACCACGGAAACAGACGGTGATGATGAAGCGCAGCCTCGGACATTATCTTGGATCTTACCGTCTGCAGCTTTGCAGCGCGAGGCGAGCTCCCACAGCACCAGACCCACAGCGTACATGTCTATCCTCAGGAAGGCGTCTCTCTGGAAGTTAATGGCTCCCTCCAGGACCTCCGGGGCCATGTACCTCCTGGTCCCCACCTAGAACACAAACAGAGACCTTTTAACACCTGGTGTTTCTAGACACTGAAACACAGAGCTGATGCAGGTACTCTCTCCTGTGTGGTGACATCACTCTCATTTCAATAAACTTTATTCAGCTATAACAAATTGTTCTGTGAGTACAGAGAGTTTAAAATGGTCAGAGATGCAGGTACAGGTGGAGGTGTGTTGAATAACTGACAGAGTGAGAGCTCTGTTTTGGCCATAGACTCTTTGTTCTCTGTCATTTACTGATTCCTGTAACTGTCTGAATCACCTGTGTGTTGATGATGAGGTGAGACAGGAAGTGTGTGATATAAAGAGCCAGGAACACTGAGACTGTAACAGGTGTCCTCTCTCAGGTGGACTCACCTGTCCATGTGTGTCTCCAGGAGATTTCCCCGCCTCAAACCTGAGAGCGAGGCCGAAGTCAGCGATGCAGGCGGTCAGGTTCGACTTCAGCAGCACGTTCTTACTCTTAAAGTCCCTGAAAAAAACACACGCAGGGTGAGACCTCTTTCTGACAGGGCTGCATCTGTACCTGTGTGTGTGTGTGTGTGTGTGTGTGTATGTACCTGTGTGCGACGGCGGGTTTGTGTCCGTCCTTGTGTCCAGGGATGTCTTCGTGCAGATAGGCGAGACCTCGCGACATGGACTGAGCGATGAGGCACAGTTCAGACCAGGAGAGGACGTTGGCCTTCAGGTAGTCTGTCAGAGAACCCTGAGAGAACACAGAGCGCAGGACATGACCTCACGTCACATGACCTTATGGTGTTTGACTTGAACACCTGCTCCACCTGTGAGTGTCACATGGGACACTACATGAACCTGAACAAAACTGATCGGAGGCCAGCACAGATGAAACAATCTAAACTCATATATAAGTCTGTATATTACAGTATAGATTTTCTTTTCTTTTTACACACATAAACATATGTAGTGTTTAAATATTTTCATTATATATCTTTATTTTTTATTATTATTATTATTATTATTATTATTATTATTATTATATTGTATATAAAAAGTCACCATCCTATATTTTGAGAATTATTTATTTTTAGAAAAATAATTTATAAATGTTTTATTATTATTTTGATTATTTACATTATTATTTATACTATAAATTAATTTTATAAATGATAAAACGGTTGTTTAATATTAATAAATAATGACATACACCCAACACTGCATGCAAATAAACTAAAAAATAAAAATAATAATGCTAAATATCAATAGTAAACAAAAGAGTTGATTAATGAAGACAGATTTGAACCTGTCTTGTTTCACAGTTTAATATTTATTTGATTTAATAATAAGATGTGATTAATGTTTGTGCTGCAGTTCTGTGTGTGTCCAGCAGGAGGCAGCACCTTCTCATGGTAGGCGGTGATGAGCCACAGCTCCAGCTCCATGTTATTCCCTCTCTTCTCGGCTCCCATGAACTGCAGCAGGTTTTCGTGTCTCATCCCGTTCAGGTTGAAGATCTCGTACTCGTTCTGCCACGACTGCTTGTGCTGCACGTAAACAAACAAATAGAGGTCAAAGGTCACAACTTGTGTGACGCATCACTTCATTCATCAGCTCCAGTGCTTTATTCCCACTTCTTACAGACATTAATAAAGAGCAGTGTGTGTGTCTGTGTGTCTCTATGTGTGTGTTCAGTCTTACAGCTCACAGCTTTAATCCCCCCTGAGGCTGACCGGGTCCTCAGCCAATCAGCATCCAGGAAACTCCCCCTGACCTCAACTGACCACACACACACACACTCTGACAGCAGTGTTTGTGTATGGGAGGATTCAGTGGTTCAAACTGCCTCTGAGTATGTGCACAGTGTGTAGTGTAGATATGTATATGTGTTTGACTGAAGCTGTGGCAGCACAGTGAACAGGAACAGGAAGTAACATCAACCACAGGAAGTACAGAGCAGCTTCTTTCCTTAACTATCCACTGAATCCATCAGAAACAAGATTTGATTTTGTTTTAGCTCAGTGTCAGCTGCTGATTTTAACCTCAGAGAATATCTGTAATTCACTGGACAGTCATGGATTCAACCAACAACGTGTATGTGATGGATGATGGTGTGTTCGAGGCAGCTTGGAGAGTACATACCTGGATGGGGAAGATTTTGACAGCCACATATTCACTGAGCAGCTGAGCCTTCCACACGCAGCCGAAGCGCCCCCTGGCTTTGATCTCCAGTAACTGCAGTGGCTTCTGACCCAGGATGGGGGAGGGGGGCATCGGGCCGGGGTCCTGGAACAGAGTCATGGACACAAACTTAGTGAGTGTGGTCGATGTGACCTCAGAGACTAGAGTGAGACCTCAGAGACTAAGATGAGACATGAGTATACGGTGTAGCCTCAGAGACTACGATGAGACCTCAGAGACTACGATGAGACCTCAGAGACTACGATGTAACCTCAGAGACTACGATGAGACCTCAGAGACTACGATGAGACATGAGTATACGGTGTAGCCTCAGAGACTACGATGAGACCTCAGAGACTACGATGAGACCTCAGAGACTACGATGTAACCTCAGAGACTACGATGAGACCTCAGAGACTACGATGAGACATGAGTATACGGTGTAGCCTCAGAGACTACGATGAGACCTCAGAGACTACGATGAGACCTCAGAGACTACGATGTAACCTCAGAGACTACGATGAGACCTCAGAGACTACGATGAGACATGAGTATACGGTGTAGCCTCAGAGACTACGATGAGACCTCAGAGACTACGATGAGACCTCAGAGACTACGATGTAACCTCAGAGACTACGATGAGACCTCAGAGACTACGATGAGACATGAGTATACGGTGTAGCCTCAGAGACTACGATGAGACCTCAGAGACTACGATGAGACCTCAGAGACTACGATGTAACCTCAGAGACTACGATGAGACCTCAGAGACTACGATGAGACATGAGAATACGGTGTAGCCTCAGAGACTACGATGAGACCTCAGAGACTACGATGAGACCTCAGAGACTACGATTTAACCTCAGAGGCTATGATGTGACCTCAGAGACTACGATTTAACCTCAGAGACTATGATGTGACCTCAGAGACTACGATTTAACCTCAGAGACTATGATGTGACCTCAGAGACTACGATTTAACCTCAGAGACTACAAAGCGACCTCAGAGTATATGATGTAGCCCCAGAGACACAAAACACCTAGTTAAACATGGATTAAATAAATAAAATAAAAATAAATATAAATAAAAACACATAGCCGCCGCAGGTACTTCGTAAACCCTGAACACAGATGTATAAATGCAACTTTACTGAAGCTCAACTTGCTTTCTGACAGGCTCATATCAATCATGCACATCTACTGATCAACAAATAGAGACATGATCTGTTGTAAACAACATCAACAACCAACACAGAGAGTAAACAAAAATAAAGTGGCAGCAAAACAAAAGAAAGGTCAGGCTGCAGGACGATAAAGATGCAAAATTAAACCCAAAAACAGGAGAAACATTAAATGAAACCAGTGATGAGGTGGCGGTGAAACAATGCAACGTTTAAACTTCTTACCTCGATCATTATATGAAAGGCGTGCTGAGAGGCAGAAACAGTTCACAGAGTCAGAGAAGAAGAAGAAATACAGAGATTCACCTGATCTGAGAGTTTATCTTAGCTGTTTTCTGATATCAACTCCAGACTACAGGGTTGGGGCTTTTGTCCAGAGTTTCTCTTTCACACGTGGCACACAACACTGGACTGTCTGTGTCACAAACGTTCTCACCTACTGTAAATAATTCAGTTTGGTTTTGGCTAATCGCTGTCACGTTGATGGTTCATAATTTGGTCATTAAGAACAGAGTCTCCTGCCGTTCCTTGAATTTGTGTGACGATTTTGGCATCGGCCCTTACCGACAGAAGTACTAGAGTCTCTTTATCTCTGCAGCTACTTGAGTAAATGACCTTTCATCAACTGGGGATGTTTGTTTTCTTCTGGTTTGTACGAGCAGCATGATAGAAACATCATCAACACGCCTATGCTGTGAATTCTCTGGACAGTGACTGGCTCTGTTCATACATGGGCTCAAACGGACATTACACAGACTTTCATTGCGAGCTAAATGGATAACGTCAGTTTAATGTCCGAACCAACTGATTCAGACGTGTGTGCTCACATACAGCTCCTCCAGGTGATGTCTACATCACTTCAGGTTTGTTGTTTATGTTTAACTTGACTTGGATGCTTCAACATTTCAATATCTTCATGTACATGATTAGACTGCAGCTTTCCGAATGATGATTACAGGTTAGAAACTCAGGTACAGGTCTGCAGGTCTGGTTCTGATAGGTATTGTGTTTATCTGACCTGTGTGGGCACCAGGACAGGTGGGTAGGCCAGTTTGTGGTGACGGTACATCCAGAAGGAGATGAGGACGATGGCGGTTACAGCCATGATGGGAACCAGTGAGTACATCAGAGTGGTCAGCACTGGAGTCTTCTGAGTCACTGGTTTGTTCGTCGCTACGGAAACACGGATAGACAAAAAATGAAAGTCAATGTATTAAATTACGAAACTGCAATGACAACATGGTTTTACACACGCAGACACAGATGAACAGGTGAGCAGGTGGACAGGTATCTTACTTGTTACTGGTGGCAGGTAGCTGTCAGGGCTGTAGAAGAACTTGTCGTTGCACAAACTTCCTTCACAGCAGCAGAAGAAGACTTCAGGAGCATCTTTCCTCTCCACACATTCACTCCTGCAGCCGCAGAAGAAGAAGAACATTTATAGAGACACTCTGTCCTCCAGAGAAGGAAGAAGAGCATGATGTAATCACTGATGTTGGTATGTGTTTAATGAGTCCCTGAGACTCACAGATAGTCATTTAAGCAGGTCTCCAATAAAAGTAGATTTTTTAAATTCTAATCACACTTTTGGCGATTTCATGATCAGGATGATTTGGGTCTTGGGGTATTTTTTCGCTGCAGTACTGTGAGTGGCCACTGGGAAAAATTGGCTGCAAGGATAAGCGGCGCTCCTGGGGGTCTGGTTACATCCAATGGTTCAACACTGGTTACTGTCAGTATATATTGTTAGCTGGTCTGAGACAGAAAAACAAGTTCTTCTACCATCTTACGGTCGTCATGGTAACCACTTACCTGTCGTAACAGTTGACATCGTCCAGCCAGCAGCCCTGTTTGACCACCTGAACCACTCCAGAGACATTCTTCCAGGTGGCGAAGCAGTGAAGTCTCTTATCTTTCTCTCCGGAGCAGGTGACCACCCCGCTGAGGTTCCCCCGACTACCCAACGCTGAGGAGGACGAGGAGGAGGAGGAGGAGGAGGAGGAAGGGCTGTAGTTGTAGTGGACGCACTTCTGAGTGTCTGAGCGGCCCAGGATGGCACCTGATGACGAGACAGCGGAGAAACTAGGGTCAGATGATGTGATCAGAAGCCTGACCTGCCTCTGTGTGTCAATGCGATCAATACCAGACGGAGCGATCTGTCACATGATCACTGACGTTCAAACTGATTGTTATTAACAGAGAATAATGAGGGGTTAATTAATCATGACACATGTCTGTATTCTGTTATCTACCATCAGTATTCATCTCACTGATCCTGGTACTACTATCACAATTTGAGTATCCTCGAGTAGTTTTACTTTGAAGATCCTCCTCAGCACCAGGTGACAGGCTAGGATGTCTGGGCTCGTTTTACCTGAGAGTGGTCTTACAGGGAGGTCACTACTCCTCCATAGTTTATAGTGATCAAACAGTGAGATAAACTGTGCTCACAGTGACATGATCACTCAGACATGATGATGATTTTACAAGATAATAAACTAGAGATTAAAAGGATAGTTTAGATTTTGGAAGAGGGGTTGTATGAGGTACTGATTATTTACAGCAGATGGAGCTCAGTGTGCCCCTGACTCTGAATTAACCCTTTCAAACACCAAAGTCACACAATAAAACAAACTGACTAACTGGAGGCAGCAGTAGACCAGCAGCCCCTGTGTTCAATGATGTTAAATCTCTGTTTTTCTCAATGGAGTCTGGCTTTGTAGAGAGCGACACAACAGCTTCACTGGACATCACAGTCTGACTTTAAGGTAAAGTGATGAAAATACACTAAATATGGCGTACACTAAAACTGATATGGATTTTTTTAGGTGTCTGAAATACATTTTGTTGCTGGCCTGTTTACAGCAGCACATTGCTTAGCTTCCATGTCTGACATCTACTGTAGGTAAAACTACGACCTCATACAACCCTACTTCTAAAAAAAAATCTAAACTACACCTTCAAACTAGCCTGTAAGAACATACTGTGGAGAAAGAAACCCTCCACCTGGTAATAAAAGCTGCAGGTGTGATCAGCCGATTGATCATTATGTAATATACAGTAATATTAACATGCTGTCAGAAACTGATCGATAAGCACTCAGCTGTTGGCTGTGGAAACATCTGAGCATGCTCAGAACAGGAGGGGAACACCTAACAGTAAGGCTGGGCAGTATATTGATATCATATTGATATGAGACTAGATATGATGGTAGATTTTGGAAACGTGGTTAGTGTTGTCTCTTCCTGGTTTTAAAGGCGGCATTACAGTAAAGTGATGACTGTTCCGTTGTTTATCATTATATCCACATTACTGATGATTATTGATCATTGAATCAATATTTAGTCAAAGCACCAACAGTCAGCTCCACAATATCCATGTCAAAGTATTTGGTATAAAAAATATTGTTATTATTGCTACTGCAGATGATGATGTGATGATGGAGGTAAACAGGTGTTACAGGTGTTCACCTCCACAACAAACTGCTTCAGTGTGTTTTTCAATGATCAGGAACAGAACTGCAGCTGTGAAGGAGTCGACTGAGCTATAGACTCAGTGCACATTCAGGTCCATCACAGGAAGTGGAAACTATTAAGTAAGAGATCACATACAGCCACAGGTCATTACAGCCATATAAATCCCAACAGGGTGATACAGGACCCCGATCTTCTTATTAAACTGGACTTTTTCTGCAGCAGACGGACATAAATACTTTTCAAACTGGTGCTACATTAACAGAGAAAACAGGTAGAAAACCCAGACCATAAAAACCCTCCCGCTGGTGGGTGACATGATGATGATGATTGGCCGTTTTTCCACAGGAAACAATATGACAACTGAATGGTAACAACTGATCTCATATCAAAGCTAAACATTAAGTTAAAGGAGGAGAGAAACAGAGGGGCAGGTCTCACTCTCTCAATCCACTTCTTTGCTCTTTGTTTCCATGGTTACGAACATACAAAAAAGCAGACATACAATCTGTAGTTCGAGCAACAGCCCCACAGCCAGCTCACAACTGCCAGATCAAGAGCTAGCTCAAAACCACTGCATCCGGAGCCAGCTTTAAACAGCTAGATCCAGAGCCAGTTCAAAACCACCAGATCCAGAGCCAACTCAAAACAAACAGATCAAGAGCTAGTTTAAAACCACCGGATCCAGAGCCATCTTAAAACCACCAAATTTAGAGCCAGTTCAAAACCACTGCATCCAGAGCTAGTTTAAAACCACCGGATCTAGAGCCAGTTCAAAACCACCAGATCCAGAGCCAGTTCAAAACCACAAGATCCAGAGCCAACTCAAAACCAACAGATCCAGAGCTAGTTTAAAACCACCGGATCCAGAGCCAGCTTAAAATCACCAGATTTAGAGCCAGTTCAAAACCGCCAGATCCAGTGCTAGCTCAAAACCACTAGATCCAGAGCCAGCTCCTGTCTGCATACAGGCACCTTGAAAAATTAAAGGCTTGATAATGTTTATGTGCTAAAGTCAGCATGCTAGCCATGTTAGCTATTGCTGATAACTGGCAGCCAGAAACAAATTTCAGTCAGGATGGAACACTTTAGTCAAAGAAAACTTTACTTTGCAGTATTATATTTGGCGGTAGGGCTCTGTTCTGGGGACTCTCTGCCTTTCCTAGGCCTACACAGAAAGCCTCTTTCAAACTCCTACGTGGAAAGCCTGAGGCAGAGAGAGTAAACCTTCCTGCCCTTCCATGCACCTATATGGAAAGCCTAAGGCTACAGCAAAGACCTCCCCGGGAACAGAACAGAGCAGTGTCAATGACAAACAGAAATGACATCGATGAGTCAGACACAGCATGAAAAGGAGGAGCTGGGGTGGAGGCAGGTTGCAACATGGTTTGCGTAGTAAGCAGCAACAGTAGGCAGGCCAGAGCAGTTTAAATAGGGCGCTCTGAATGAGATTTGCCAGTTGGTTGCATAGAAAGGAATCATGTGATCTATCGGCTGATGTAGCTGAGATGTGAGCTTGACATCATGTCCTGCCTGAACTAATGGTATGCTCGATATCTATGATCCATTGTCCGTTTGATGATCTAAACAAGTAACAGGATTCCTTCCTAAAATGAGCAGTAGTGAAAGTTATTATATTCTGTTGTGATCAAGGAGTTGATGATTAGCAGACAGTGTTAGCTAGGTAGCACGTTAGCTAGTTGAAAAGTTGTCTAGTTCAACATTAAATCATATTCTATAGGGACATCTCCACAAGTATTAACCAAGGAAAATAAGTCAAATCCATGTTTGACAAAATTGAGTTTTTACAATTCCTCATGACGACAATGCCCTCGGGTAGTTTTCAACCCCACGTCAGCAATTCAGCTCACGTTAGCCCAACACACACACTCCTCTCCTGAGTGTGCAGCAGTGATTATAACTAAAATATTGAGATTATAATTAACTGGAGACAAACCTTTTTCCTCTGCTACATGTAGGTCATAATCCCAATAATATAAAAATGAGTTACTGATATCAGTTGAGAAATATAAATGTTATAGTGCTCTTTATCCAGAAAAAACACAACTCCTGTTTACTGTCATTTGTTTATAGGCAAGTCCTTGACTCTCCAATATGGCGGCGACACTGGCATCGCCAAAACTACATTATTTATCATAGCTGGAATCTGCAAAAACAGAAATTATCATTGGATTTTCAAACTTCCGACAGTCTTTGGACACATCATGTGGGACAAACACTTCTGTCAGAGAAACAACATAATCAATGACTAATCTGGTGCTTCCTTTCTATGGTGGAAGTTAGGTATTGCAGATGTGTCTTGTATTTTTCTGTCTGTGCTTTTATTGTTGTTTGTACCTTGCACTGTTACTTGTGTTCTTGTTGTTGAGTCCTTTGTAATTTAAGGCCCAGCTATGGACGGGCATTGCAGATTAGCTCAAGCTATAAATGCTGTGGTGTGTAACATTATGTATGCTACATACTAGTCCCCATACAGATCAACATTAAATAAATAAATCTGAGCTCTTGATAGTGATATTTCATCAACGTCACTATTCCACATCTCAAATTTGGCCAAATATAAACCGTCTGCACAAAACCAACCACACAACAAGGCTTTTTTTTTCAACTCCAGGATTTCATCTTCTCTTTACCTTTAAACATAGAAGGTTAAGTTTTAAAGCTCGAATAACTTAATGTATGGTGGAGGGAGGGTCATGCACGTTTCCCCAGTCACTCAGGGAGGTTCAAGCAATAATATTTGGGGCTTCAAGGAGGGTCACACCCCAGCCATCCACCTCCTCTGATAAATACAGAACAGTTCCTTAGTTTGCAGCCAGGTAAACTCACCTGAGGAGCAGGAGATGAGGAAGACACTGAAGGCCAGTTTGGTGGCTGATCCCATTGTGGATCCAAAGACAGAAATTCTTAATTTTACTGTTAATCCCAACGTGGATTCTCACGTCCCTTTAACTGCTCCGTGTAGAGGACACCGAGTACCGGTTACACATCTGATGCAGTCCCGGTTTACCGTGATAAAATATGACACATTTCCAGGACACGGAGCTGCAGATGTAACCGGTGTGTGTGAGGACAGGCCCGGTGAGAGAGGCGGACACAGCCGTTTATATCAGCTGACTTTGGGATCAAACGGTGTTTCTTGACGGTGTAATAACGGCTAACGTTAAAGTCATTGTTGGCGTGTGACAGTCCGGGTGTGTGCAGCATGCAGCAGATAAACAGTCTTCTTCTTCTTCTCTGGTGTCAAACTGCACATTTTCATCGGTTTGCACTGATTTCTGAAGCGGGATTAAGTCGAGCTAAATAACCGTCGCTAACCCCCGTTAGCTGCAGATACACAAACCTCCACTTTGTCTCCACACAGCTCAACCGACCGTGTTCACAACATGTTAACGTGTGAAATAAGATCCGAGGTCAGAGTCCACCGAGCGAAGCTGCTGCCGTTGAGCCGCCTCTGACGACCACAGCTCGGTCACCGGACAGCTAGCTGGCCCGGCTAGCTGTTAGCTTAGCTCCGAAGCTAACAGTCGGAGTGGTTTCCTGCCTGGATACCGAGGAGGTGAACCACAAACCGCAAACAGAACCACACAGGCCTCCGTTAGCGTAAATGAGCCCGGACTGGACCGAGATAAACATACGAGGATCGGTGCTCCCCGCTGGGTTCGTCTCGTCCTCACTTCCACTCTGTCCTGAACGAGCACAGGCAAGATGGCCGCCCCTCAGATTATTTTGGTTTTTTGTTTTTTTTTTCACCTTCTTCCATAGTAATCTGTCAGAGCGGTGAGGATCACGTGACTGACACTAGGATGAGCCAATAGGCTGCGTGGAAAGAGCTCGACACGGATTCTTCCACCAATCCCGTGCGGCGTCCTGGTGCAGGACGTCTGGAATGTTGAGAAGACCCCGCCCCCTGTCAGGAGAAGCACCGCCCCATGTCAGGAGAAGCACCGCCCCCTGTCAAACCATAGTGTACTACTGTACATACATGATGTCAGTGTTTAGAGACAGGTCACCAATTAAAGGACAAACCGTCACATACTGTACATACATCCCATGGTGTAATGGTAGCTGAGGAGGCGGGTGTACAGCTATGTAGATAGAGAGGTTACTGTGGAAGAAGTGTTACTCTGCTTTATAGTCCAGTGGTGTTATGGGTGATAGGTATTCTGTAAATGGATAGAAAAAAAGAGGTGGTTACACAAAGAGCATACGCTCCACTAAAAGACTGCATACATGATGTTAGCATGTACAGGCAGGTAACGAATTAAAGGACAAACCACTTCACAGCGTCTAAGCGAGATATCTGAACTCTCTGAACTCTCTGAACTCTCTCCCTACACGCATATAT